AACGCCCCATAAATTTGTGATTAGAGAATCAGAACACCTAGTTCTGATTCATTATGATATTTGTGAACTAGATGGGACGTTAACTAGGTCTGGCAAGAGATACTTTATCACTTTCATAGATGATTGCTCTGATTATTGCTTTGTTTAGTTGATGAAAAACAAAACTGAGGCCTTTGATATGTTCAAGGTATTTGTGGTTGAATTTGAAAATCAGTGCAATCGAAAGATAAAACGACTTAGGAGTGATAGAGGATTAGAGTATGACTCTAATCCCTTCAAGGAATTCTATAGCTCACATGGTATTATTCATGAAACCATGACTCCACATTCATAAGAAATGAATGATAAAACTGAGCGAAAAATAAGACGTTTACAGAATTAGTTGTGGCTATAATGCTCAATTTAGGAGCTGCTTCTTCTTGACTGTACCATATGGTATTGCCTTGTATTAAATAAGAGCATACCATATGGTATGAAAAATACCACCCCATGCCAGGGTGAAGAAATATAGAAAGATGGCAGAACAAGTAAAGTAAGCAGCAGATGGCGGTGACGAATTGGACTTAAAGGCCAACAGCAAAACAAGGATTTACCGATTCATGGAGCGAGAGCGCGAGCTTTTTCTTCAAGAATTGAATACTGAGAGCGCGGACAGTTCGTCTATATTATATTATTTTTATTAATTTTATGTTTTCAAATGATATAAGAAAATAAGTGTAAGAATGAAGTAATGTAAGAATAAGTTCACAATAATTTAACACTGAAAAAATAGTCAATAATCCAACACATTTTCTTAATATGCAGCTTAATCTTATTAAGGGAGGTTAAGATATAAAAGCAAATGAATTATATTTATTACTTTTTGGTGGCAGCGGGTAAATTATTTTGATAATGAAGGATAAAATAGTCACTCAAAAAGAAATATAAATAGTTGGCGATTGCGGCAACCCTAGCTAGCTTCCACTTCAATCGCAGACCCTCCAATTTGCCCTCTTGTCTCGTTTCTATCTTCCATTTTCAGCAACCCAGAAACTCGCAGGGAAGCCTTTGTGAAAATCCCTCCCGCTCATTTCTTCTTTCTAATCCACCGCCGAATCTGTCATTATCGGTGCATCTCTCTCTCTTCTCACTGATTCACTGAACATTCTAGGAGATCTCTTCCCAAATATCCTCCATCATTAAAGTCCTTTCCGATGCATGCCGAGACTCCGGCCTCTTCCCGCCTTCCTCCATCAACCCAACCATCGATTTCGTCTTCTTCACCATCTCGGCAATCGTTTTTGCGCTCCACAACGGGAGCGTCGAGCCCTATGCCACGAATTGTGTGACCTAAATTTGGACCGGAAGTTGTGTGTAGACAATTTAGTTAACTATTTAAAGTATCTAGGTTCGAACCACCACTGATACTTTTTTTAATCTCTCTACTAAATTAAAAAAATGTAATATGGGATGATGGTGATTCGAACCTAGGACCTATTGCAAACAAGGAAACAACTAAATAAATTGTGCCAACTAAACTAACTGTCGAGTGGGGGTGCGATTTTCAACAAAACCACCCCGGCCCCATACGGTTCATTGAAAACCGAACCCGCCCCAGCTGTTTTCGAGAAAAGGTGGTATTTTTGGAATTTTTCATACATGGATGATAGTTCTGTAATTTTTTTTTAACAGTGGTACTTTTGGATTTTTCCCGACTTCTTTGGAGAAAGTCAGAAAACAGCAGCGCTGCAAGACTGGGAGCAACGAACAGCAACGATTCAAGGAAAAATTTTGAGATCAGTTGCAGTGCCGAGGAATAAAATCAGTTTTTTCTTTCTCTCTTGATTAGTTTTATGAGGAGTATGAACATGATTATATCTTTTGATAACTAAACCTCAATTTTTTGGAGAAATACTATAGGATTTAGGGCTGGCTATTTGGACCGGGACCGGATGAAAAACCGAAAACCGGACCGTATAACCCGGACCGAGACCGGACCGGATAGTAAACAATCCAATCCAATCTTTGGGCTTAGATTTGAGGTAAAAAACCGGATAAAGACCGGATAAGAGAGCTCAACACCCAAAACTTAAGGGTAATTTGCATAAACGGTCACAAACCTTTGCACTTAGTACAAAACTTAACCAACTCCTCACCCTTTTAGGCCTTAGGCCAATCAAATTCCCACAATCTCAATATAAAATCAAGACCGAATTGGGATCGGACCGGGTCAAGACCGGACCGGATCAAGACCGGACTGTATCCAATCCAATCTTCGGTCCTTATATTTTCAAAAAACCCGGACTGGACCGGATCAATTTGGGCCAATTTAACCGGACCGGACCGTATAGCCACCCCTAATAGGATTTGCTATTTTTAGACTTGATGGATGATTCGTATATATATTTTTTTTCAATCTATATTTCATGAAATTACCTGATGCTTTGTATTGACTGGCCACTAGGGATGGCAAAAATATCCGTAACCGTGGATATCCACCCGAATCCGGCCTAATCGGGTAGGGTAAAACTCGAACCCGAAGGATATTTAGTGGGTATGGGTAAAACCCGAACCCGAATATTGCGGGTAATGGGTGGGCATGAGTTTCTAACTATCCAACCCGAACCCGCCCGATTATACGCATGCATGTGTATTTTCTCTAGAAATAATTATTATTTTTCTCTAACATATTTTATATTTAGCATATAAATATAATATTTTCATGAAATTGTGTTGTTTTAGTTAATTTTCTTCATTCTAGTGAACTATTGTCGTACTTTTCCTCTTACTAATGTGAGAATACGTGTGAATGTTAACATATTGGTTAGAGTTATGAAGAGAAATTATTATCCATGGATAACCGTGGATACCCGAAACCCGAACGGGTATGGGCATGATTTTAATTTTCTACCCGTTTCACATGTGGGTATGGGTATGGGTAAAACCCGAACTACTTTGGGTAGGGTAACGGATATGCACTATCCGTCCCCGACCCGACCCATTGCCATCCCTACTGGCCACCAATACAAAGATTTGTAGTTAATTATGTTATTAGCGAAAGTGAAACCCTAATAACTGAACCTATTTCATGTGACATAGTAACTTATCGAAGCGACAATGGATTAAATAAGGTTCTTTGCGGTCTTAATTGGGATATCGATTTTCAGGCTAAACAATTAATTCATTGAACTACGACAGTAGGATCTGAATTAATTGTTTAGTACGTAGTAATTCCCAACAGGGATAGCTAGCACAATAGAGATATCATGGCTGTAGAGAATTGGATTAAACCGATTATAATATGTGAATTCATTTGGATAGTGATATGCAGTGAGTTCCAGTGTTTCTCCCAGAAACATTTTCACCTATAGTTTGCTATATAAAATTGATAGAATATAAGGTTGTACCAGTCCCTAAGAGACGATACCCGGATTTACCGGTTTACTACAAGATAGGAAATTGGCATTACGCTTTTGCCCTATCAAAATGTGAACACATAAAAGTTTACAGTACCTTCTACCCCATACCAATTACACTATGACTGCACGAACTCATACTTAACACTATGTTTGTTTAGAGCTGCAAATAGATGCGGGTGCAAATTTGGGGTAAATGTCATTTCCGATGCATTCACCCTCATTTAGTTAATTTGCAATATTGGTAGGGGAGCAAGTGAGGGGTAAAATGCACTATTCCCCTTAAGCCTCCAATTTGGGATGCAAGAAGAGAAATAAAAGAAGGAGGAATGGTGAGTGTGTGTAAAATTAATGTAAAATTATTATAATGTGTCTTATTATATTTAAATAATTATATTTTGAATAAGAAATATAAAAATGATGATTGTTATTATTAAATATAAAATATGTTCGTGAATCGTAAGTTTGTCAAATTGGCTCCAATTGTTGAATGTGTTTGACGAAGTTTGACTCAAATTTGAGTTGAAAAGTATAAAGAAGAAGTGTCATGAAAAAGTAGAACAAGAAAATGTTTGGTTGACTCGGGTAATTTGGTTGACTCAAATGGACCAATTTGACATTGGGACCGGACAAATAGGATCAAATATACGGATGATCCGATCATTGGTCCTAAAATGTCTATCGCTTTTGGACTGTGGTTCTCATGAGTTTGGTCGGTCCGTACAATACCAAACTGTTGCACACCCCTACCTAGTTTAAGTTCACCGTTTGACTTGGGAATAAGTTTCTTCAGGTTCGTCTAGTCAAATCGAGATCAATATGTCGACAAACCAATGCTCGAGTGGGAGACATGAGCTAGGTATATGTCTTGGCCATAGGTTGGACTTTCAGCTTCAAGATTGCTCTATCGTTGATTAATTACTATTTAAATATTTATTGTCTTAATAATTATTTTTATTAAATTAAATTTATCAATATTTATAATTATTATATAAATTTTGTATTTTATTATTTTTTTAAAAATCTTTTTTAAATTTAAAATATATTTATTTGTTAAAATATGACTTGACTTTGATTTGGGTTTGTTTTGTGTTTTGGGCCTATTTTGTTTGAATTTGTGTTGGACTTTGTTTTGACCTTTTTCCTTGTATGTTTGGAAAATGTGTTTGGTTTTTTATTTGGTTTTCTGTTTTGGGCCTATTTACACCCTTACTTTTTCATGCAAACAACAAATTATCCCTCAATTTACACCCACCAATTTATTTCTCAACTTGCACACTCATCCTTGCGTTGTCTAACATAGAGGCCACCCCTACCACGCGAAACCGCCTAAATGAGCAAGTGCTCTAGCAGGTTGTAAATGGCGTCTCTAAAATCATTTTGTTTTATTGGTTTATGCATCATAAAATAAAAAGGTTCACAAGCCTTCAATCTTAAGCCGCACTCTAGTTTTACTCTCTCTTAGTAAAGATGACTCATAACTACAGGAGAAGTGAAATTAAGAGAATGGGAAAATGAAAGATTTTCTCTTCGCTGCAAAATTTGCTCATCAAACAAACAGAGCCGACTCCCTAATTCATTTTGCTCTACACTCGAAGCCGCTGTTCACTGAAGGCCACCGCCGAAATTCATGATAAAAATTGGAGCCGGACGACTCCTCCCGCCGCCACCGTTTCTGCAATTTCTGGCGGCGGCGGCGGAATTCGTGCATTGCTGAGCCACCGCCTGATCCCTGCAAATCGGGCAGCTGGAAGAGCGGGTAGAGAGCCAGAGATCGATGCATCCCCTGTGAAACACGTGATCGCAATTCGGCAGCACCCTCAAGCGCTCCCCGATCTCGTACTCCTCCAAGCAGATCGAGCACACCGTCGAGAACGAGCAAGACGGCGGCGGCGATTTGTCTGCGCCGTAAGTGAACTCCGGAAACGTCGCCAAGACTTCCTCCACCGCCGCTTTCCTGTTCGATTCGGAGTGGCAATTGTCGCCCTGTTCGGTGGACGCCGGGCAGAATTTGAATAAGCAGATCACGATGAGGCTGAGAATCGTGAAAAGAACGGCGAATATTCCGCAAGTGAGCAAGATTCTCACCGTCAGGTTGCTGGGTTCTTCTCCCGACGGTGCGACGGCTTCGGCAAGCGTTCTCCGGCACGGGAGGAGAGCCGCAATTTGATAGTCCATATCTCCCTATTCCTCCCCTGTTTCGCGGCCGCGGTTTTCGCGACGGAGTAAAAAGGGACGGACGGAGAAGACTGATACTAATAGATGGATGGTGAGTAATCCCCAAGGAGAAGGAATGGAAATTCAATTATTTGGAAGTTTCCTGGAAGCTGCAGCCAGAAACAGAGGAGTATCGGCAGCTACCTACACGAGCGTTTCATTCGGAAGGGTGTTACGTTACGTACAGAGAACCGATTGGAGCCCATCGATATATCCATAAATGGAGTTCTCCTTTCTCACTAATGTATTTATTGGCTTCAACGTTTCCGAACTCGACGCGGGCACGCGGCGATTTGAGCTGTTTGGCTCTTCCGAATTTCGTGCCGGGAGATTAACTCGGACATATCATTTGACGCAGCACTCACTTTCAGGCAGCTCATCAGTGTTTGGGCTGATTCATTTGGCGCAGGAAGTTCAGTCGGTTGACTCTGATCGATAGCAACATCAGTACGTAGAGACTACAAGAAAATTAATATTTTCTATATTTATTTTCTTTTCTAATAATAATAATAAACGAAAAAAATAAAATCCCAATTTATCCCCTCCCCTCTCACCCGAAACCTATCCCCTTCTCCGACGAGCTGCCGCCGCCATTGGAGGAAGAAAAATCAGAGCGGTAGAGGAAAACGATCCATCCCGAGTGGGTGAGATCTAAGGCCAACCCTAGTGGGTGAGATCTTACTTTCCTCTGTAAGTCCTCTCTTTGATCCAACATTTCTCTTATTGTCTCTGTACGTTTCTTTTGTTCAGTTTTTGGATCTCTCATAATTTTCCACACTCATTTTGAGAACTACGGGCTGATTTTAATGGTGATAGGCGAAGTGGGGATTTGATTGCTTTGCATGCATCTGATGTTCGGAGGTCAAGTGGTATCATCGTCTGGCAATCGTCCGCATTTGAGGAAGTCTGCTAGCCGACCTCTTGTCTTCGATCTTGGTAGAAACAGAAGTTTAATTTCCATTCACCCTTTTTTCTTTTAATTCCTATTCTTCCCGATGTTTATGATTTTGGGATTTTGGTTGCAATGGGTTGCTCTTGGTCATTGCTGGAGGGAGTGATGCGAGGGTGCCCGTCGCTGCAAGTTTTCTTCCTCTTATGGCGGCGGCAGCTCGTCGGAGAAGGGGTTTCGAGGAAGAAGGGGATAGGTTTCGGGGAAGAAGGGGGTTAGGAAATGGGAATAAATTGGATATTTTTGTTTATTATTATTATTATTATTATTATTATTATTATTAGAAAATAATTGAATACAAAAATTCAAAAAATATATTTTTTATTCCGTGCTCGCTGATGTGGCAAGTGACCTGGCCATTGACTAACGGTCAACGGAATTACCCGTCTAACTTGACGGTCAAACTCCGCTTCGGGCCAAGTAAGGAAGTATGGTACACAGTTCAGGCCAGAATAGCAATTTCGGAAACCACGTGCCAAAGTAGAAAGTTTGTGTATAGTTCAGGCCAAACTAAGGTATCAACCCTAAAAAAAAATATCAAACCTAAAGCGAAAACGTAAAATAGAGGAGAGATTGAGTGGTATTTCTGTTGACGTGACTGGTACGTGGGAGAGAGAGGATCTCGAGCTTTGGGTGTTTTCTTATTGATTATTGAGTTTGACCAATGACCTTACAAATTACAAGTAATGCAATCAAAATTCCGATATTAATCTTAAAGTCCTATGGTTTTATGATCATATCTATGAGTTCTGATATTGGTTTTATCACCTAATCTTTGAACCTTAAAAGTTTGATTAAAAACATAAAAATCCATAGAATTTATGATTTATATGATGGTGTACGATTTCGAGGTTCAATTCTGTTGAAGCAATCCTATGAACCAGGCCAAGTTCACTTCCCCATCCATTGTTGGATAAGAGTAGTCCAACATCGTCTTATAATTGCCCTCTGCGGCTTCTTCGACCACGGTTGCGTTCTGTTGTTGCTAACGTAAGCGTCTATGCATGGTCTTCTCTATCTCTGGATCAAAGGCGAATTTTAGAGGATGGCCTCTTTGCATCAACTAACTCAGACACATAAGCAAAGAATAGCACAATCTAGAAGTATGAAGGAAGCACGAACAAAGAAAAAAATGAAACGGTTAACGTAACAAAATCAAACCGTTCCTAATATCACAATCCGCGACAATGGTGCCAAAAACTAGATCCTCTTTATGTAAGTGTGACTACTTAAGGCAAGTGTACCGGTCGTAGAGGCAATACAATGGCAAGCAAGGTCGTATTACACAACTACTAGTACTGAGTTATGTTTCTGGACTTTGCTATGGTGACATGCATGTCACGGTGACATGCACTTTTTGGTCGACCTCATATAGGATCAGGTCGACCTAATATGTTGTTTCAGTGTAAACACAGTTTCATAGTGCCTACTTTGGAGATTCATATCTTACAATTGGCTAGATGGAAATTGGAGATTAAAGGCTTGTTTTGAAGCTGAAGTGTCCCTCTACACATTAAATTACTTGGGTGCTCAATAGAAAGTCCAGAAGACAATTTTTGAACCTGACCAAAAGGCTATGCCAAAACTGGGAAACTGCCTGAAAATGGCTAAGTCTGGCAACGTGTTTGTCAAGCCTACTTTGGAGCTCAATTTTTTTTTTTTATAATGGTGATTGAAATATATTGAAACAACGAAAAGAAAAAACAAAGGTGAAAAGAGGCTCACAAGGGGACGAGCCAACTCACCAGAAGGTCCAAACAAACAAAGAAAACAAAGGGAAAAGAAAGGAACAAACTACAGAGAAAAGAGACGGAAGCAAACAGCCGAGGCCAACCAGCTAGCCGAATGGGCCGAACCATTCCCGCTAGGGCAGTACACCACAGCCTCCAAGCAAATCTCAAAACCAAAAACAAAAAAAAGACTGAAAGAGACCTGGGAGAGCAGAAAGCCCAGAAAAACAAAACTGAAAACCACTGCCGCACCCGCCAAGACCTGCATCACAGAGACAGGAAGCGCCAGCAGCCTGGGAACATGAAAAGCTATGAGTTCTGGAGCTTCATCTCAATCCACTGCAAACCTTGGTCCTTATCTACCTTGCCAAAAGCCATTGCCCACTCAACAGCTTCTCTTAAAATTTTGCGCACAACAGCTCTAGGTTGCAGACGCCTATCCTCGAAGATTCTCCTATTCCTCTCAAGCCAGATATTCCAGCAAGCCGCGTGGAGCACCCCGAAGAGAAACCACCCCTCAAAACTACCATCAGGGCGGGAAGGCCACCTACTGATGGTAGTTAAAATATTACTAGTGGGGCGTTCGATGGATCCGCAAGCCCTTTGCAATCTGCTCCACACCTCCTCTGCGAAGAGGCACAAAGAGAAGATATGATTGATGTCCTCTTCATCCCGACCGCAAAGCTCACACCTATTGGCAAGATGCCAGCCTCTTGCCTTGAGATTGTCCAAGGTGAGAATCCGTTTGTGAGCCACTAACCATACAAAGAAGCAGATCTTTGTAGGGATCAATTGCCGCCAAATAGACTCGAACGGGAACTCGGAAGTACCAATGTTATCCTCATCAATCAAATACCTGTACATAGAACGAACAGAAAAGTGGCCCTCCGGGCAGGGGAGCCAAATCGGCATAGGAGGCCCGTTAGTCACACGGGCGGAGCCCAAAGAAATAAGAAGGTCCATAAGCACAACCCTTTCTCTCTCAGCCCCCCCTCTCAGTGAAGTATTCAAAGGAACAGACCAAGAGAAACTCTCACCTGTGGGTTCAATGGCTTCAGAGACCCTGGCATTCGGATAGCTAGAGGCGGCCGCAACTCTTGGGAAAGTCTCTGCAAGCACAACACCTGGAATCCAGCAATCATGCCAAAAAGAAACCCAACTGCCATTTCCTGGATCAATACAAGCCATTCGCCAAAAGTTATCATATTCCTTAGAGATATTTGCCCAAACCGACCCTGAAAAACCTTGCCTGCTTCTCACGGATCCCCACTCCGAATGCTGATGCGTGTATTTAACTGTAATCAGATCCCTCCACCAACTGTCCCTCTCCGTTGCGAAGCGCCATAACCACTTCCCCAACATTGCTCTATTGAAAACCGCTAAATCCATAATCCCAAGACCACCCCGGTTAATGGGGGCCTTGCAGTTATCCCAACTCACCAGTGGAAGTTTCATCCTGTCACCCGATCCACTCCACAAGAACCTTCTTTGAATGCCTTCGAGACTTCTAATAACCGAGGATGGGGCACGGAAGAGGGAGAAATAATAGATTGCCTGATTCGAGAGCACAGATTTAATCATGGTTAACCTGCCTCCGAAAGAAAGATACCTACCCTTCCAGCCATCGAGCCTCTTCCTGCATTTATCCACAATAGGATTCCATAGTGAAATAGCGTTGGGCTTAGCCCCTAAGGGGAACCCCAAGTATCTTGTCACCTCGTTACTCCAGTTGCACCCAAAAATAGAGGCAAAGAAACCAGGATCTGGGACATCCCCGACAGTAAACATAACTGATTTATCCAGATTAATTCTGAGCCCCGTGACCGCCTGGAAACAAACAAGAGTAGCAAGAATATTTACGACCTGCCCATACTCTGCGTCACAAAAAATTAAGGTGTCGTCAGCGAACAGCAAGTGGGTGACTTCCCCCCCACCTCTCTCTTCGTCCATACAGAAACCCGATAGTTTCCCACTATCTCTGAGCATAGAGATCATAAAGGAAAGCACATCCATGATCAGAGTGAATAAACCGGGAGACAATGGGTCTCCTTGCCTCAAGCCTTTCTGAGTATCAAAGTAACCTTTTGATTCCCCATTCACGAGAACTGAGATTTTAGGACTGCACATAGAACCCTTGATCCACTTTTTCCACTGCTCCGAGAAGCCCATGTGAGATAAGATTTGAAACAAACAATTCCAGTTTACATTGTCGAAAGCCTTCTCTATATCCAACTTGAACATCAGTCCCGGTTTCTTACTTTTCTTCCTGCTATCAAAAAGTTCAAACGCAATCAAACCGGCTTCCCCGATCTGCCTACCCATAACGGAGGCGTGCTGGTATTTCGAGACAAGTCGAGGGAGCACACAACTCATCCTTCGGGAAAGGACTTTACTTACCAACTTATTAAAACTCCCCATCAAACTGATTGGTCGCAGATCCTTAATGTCTTCGACCGAGTCTTTCTTAGGAACTAAGCAGATAAAAGAATGGGTGATACTGTTAGGCAAGTATCCGGAAACAAAGAACTCCCCGAGAGCAGTCATCACCTCGCCTTTAATCCAACCCCAGCATTTCTTGTAAAATTCCCAAGTGAAACCATCCGGGCCAGGGGCCTTGCCCCCATCACATTCTGCTATACTCTCCCAAATCTCCAGCTCAGTGAAAGGCCTGCACAACCATCGACTCTCAGCCTCGCTGATTTTGCTACAACTGTAAAAGCGAGGAAATGGGCGGAGCATGATTTCCTCAAGGAACAAACCAGAATAGAAGTTCACAATCCCATTAGCCACATCCTCCCTGCCTTCAGTAAGAGAACCATTGATTTTAATACAGCCAATGCGATTCACCTTCCTTCTATAATTTGCAACCTTGTGGAAATAACCTGAATTCCTATCTCCCTTTCGCAGCCACAACTCTTTAGACTTCTGCCGCCACGAGATCTCCAACAAGTCCATCACCTTCCCAATCTCAACGAGCAAACACTCCCGCGAAATATATTCCTCAGCCCTCAAGCACCGAGTCTCTTCCTGCTGATTAATGGTGTGGACAGCGGCAGTAAGCTCCTCGAGCTTCTTGTTCTGGTCCCCGAAAACCTCTCTATTCCAGACCTTGATTTTGTTCTTGAGAGCTTGTAGTCTTCTAGACCACCGAAAAACCAAGCCATGTCCCTGAGCCGGCTCCTCCATCCAACTAATTAGACCTGTGAAAAACCTGCCGTCCTCCAGCCACATATTTTCGAATCTCCATGGCCTATGCGCTCTAGAACTGTCACCCCATCTTAACATCAGCGGGTTATGGTCAGAAGCAATTCGTTCGAGTGCAGATAGAGTACAATCAGGAAACAAATCATCGAAGCTTCCAGAAACAAAGGCTCGATCAATCCGAGAAAGGCAATTACTATCTCCTCCCTTGCACCAAGTAAAATTACTCCCCCCAAGTGGGAGCTCCAATAAACCACAGTCGTCGATAACATTATTGAATTCAGCCATAAGGTTGTTGTTGCGTCTTGCACCCCTGTAAT